ATATATATATATATATATATATACATAATCTAAGCTTGTATATCGTTTCTTGGAATGTGATTGCTTAGGCTTACGGTTACCCTGAATAATGTTAGAAGAAATCCTGGGGCTGTAAAAGCATGATGCGACCATTTGTTTACATAAGCGATAGTATGCAATTCACAACATCTTATAGGAGTAAAGTCACTGGAATTAAACCAATCAGAATTCACATGTAGGTTATAGCAAGTAGAGGTATTACAGATGGAGAAAAAAATAAAATCATGAGAGCTGTGTAGGATAGGCCAAACAAGAAACGGTTTAAAGGACTGGTGTGTACAGAGAAAGATTGCGCTGGGTGGTTGTCTCTGCTTGGCATCAAATTATGGCCGATCTTTTGAAAGTCCTGGTAGACAACCGAATTTGGAAGTTGAGCGCAGTGAAAAACCTGGAAACCGTTAAAAAACAATGAATGAATGACTTGCCAGTCAACAAGAAATTCGCATTAGTTATTGTGGGTGCCTGTAATACGGAAGTTTCCTTCTAATAAGCAATACCCTTGAGGATCGATCTTTGGTTCACTTGAGAATTGCTTTTTCTACATTGAGGGGGGCTTTCTAGAAATTCCACCCAGATCGTCCTCCCTTTCTGTACGATTTTTCACTAGTCATAACTGAATAACATCATTGAAACTTCATGAGTAAATTTCGTCCAAAAACTCCCTAAGATGTTTATCCAGTTCCGCACGCACTCTAATATTAGATAACTGATTTCAGGCGTTAAATTACCTGAGAGAGCCTTTGCATTGAATCACTTTCCGAACAAATGATTCACTCGAGTTTCGACAGAACCTCCTGTTCGCACGCATCGATATGCAAATGAGAGATTCATCCAGTGTTTTAAATGTTTGAGTAACCCGCCGGAGCTAGACAGACAACACATTGGAGAAACGCGCCAAAGCCCACGCGTCTAGCTAACCGGTGCTATGATGGCTAGACTTCCCTCACTCACAAGTAGGTACAATATAGGCATTCGGTGAAGCATACACACCTCATCAAATCCAATGGAGTGCAGTTACAAGGTCACATTAAGCTCACTCAGCTAACCGAACACAATGTTTGTAGGCATGCATTACATGCACTTTTCATCAAATAAAGAGATTTACGAGGTCAAACTCGGTTCTCACATATTCAATAGTGGAAAACGCACATTCCTGGCACCGAATGAGGAAACCACTTTGACCAAATGGTGCACCTCGACCAGCACTTCCTCCAATGGTCATCCAGTGAAAAGGTCATAAGACTGAAACTAAGATATCGCCCTTCACTTACTTGTTCATCTACCCGTTTTTACCCGCCAAATTGAGCAGCAGCAACAAACATTGTTGATCAAATCTGTAACCGGTAACTAAACCGACGCAAAGTAGTTGCCAAATTCATAATATCCTTCAGGTCTACCCGTGTAACGGTGATACTACTGGTGGGAGGGCGTGCGAGTCGTATGTCTTCTCGTAAATCCGCTTTGCATCTCTTGAAAAGTGAGATCTATTATGGAATTTGTGGAGTCGCTTTGTAGCATTTGCTTGGATTTGGACAACAGTCAATGAATATCCAGGAAAGTTCAGAAAGACACGTTCAAGGAGGATATGCATATTCAGTTTTTGTAAACAAAATGCATATAAGAGTTTTGCTTCCTTGCCCAATAGTCCGTTATTGTTTAGTTGGTATTTTATAATAAATAACTCCGCAGCGAAGGCCTTCTTCCTTTCACCCGTATTACATTTCTGCTTGTCTCCTTTGGTTCATCGGAGTTGTAGGTGAGATGATGTAACTTCCTAGACGATTGCCATCGAAAGACGTGAATACTGATAAAAAGTATTTCATATTAGTGCAAGGGGTAAAGACTTCTTTTAAGGCATTCCTTGCTGTGCTCTGTGATGTTCTTTGCTTAGTTGAAGGTTTCCTACAGTAGTAAATTTTGGTTTGCGACAAACACCATTTCCAGGTGTGTTGGGCGCTTGTTCCTTAGGCGGAAACGGTACTCCGAAATTGCACAAGGACATGGATTAAAATCCAATAATTCGAGACTGACGTTGCGGTTCCGCCAGAATTACTCAGTCACAATTTGCACTAGGTTGCAAATCCTAGCAACGTTATTATTTCTTACAACCATGCAGCAGATCGGGGTCGAGTGGTACAACGGGCAACTTGACCAACATAACTCAGAAATGGGTGCCTTAAAAATACGTGAAAAACTTTAGTCGGCTCATTTCTACGGCCACTGGCTGAGCGGACGACGGCACAAATCACAAGTATGAAAATGCACATCTCACGAAAGACATATTGGCCTGTCTGTGTACAGGAGGACCGTGAATCCAGTTGTAGATCGCCACTTATGATAAGTACTACTAGGTACAGGAATCTGGTATCTTCCTGAAAGGGCGTCCGGACTGCATGAGTTCACTCTCCATCAGAGCAGGGTGAGTATACCCCCAATATACACGCCCTGCCCGTCCGACCGATGGCAATCCAACTATTTGTGGTTGCAATAACACACAACTAACTCTTTAGGAGGGTCCAAACCCAGGAGACCACTTGTCGGAAGCGACAACGTTTAGTTCTAGCACAATGGTGAAATTTCTTCAAGTAAACTTTCAATCAAGTGCCACATTGTAGGCCACGAAACAAGGTACATAAGTGTATGCGCCGGGTGTGCGCAGTTCAAGTAACAGTAGTCGATAAATTCGCGAAACGACCTAATTTTGTTCAGTTTCTTCAGAAGAGAACAACCTTAATATAATTGTACAATGACTTCATGGTTTCGATCCAGGGTTAGAGCACCAGGAACATGCTGTATTGGTGACAATGGGCTAGAAAATTGTGCAGAAATTGAAGCCCAACACAGTGCACGGTTGTACACAACCAAAAGTCGCAATGGGATTTAAATTAGATTTATCGGCGATTCCCGATGAAAGTGGAGCTTCGCAGTAGCTGTCCACATCGATACTGGGCTGATATTACTGTCAGGTTTATGTCGACGCGCTGTTGTTAAAAAGCTCTATTATTTATTAAATGGGTTTGTTTCACCCCAGTGGACCAACCGTGAGCTACTCAACATTAGCGGACAAAATGCTCCGTGATTCCATCCACATGTCACATGCAGTCTGGGGACAAATCCATTCAACTTTCCAAGGTTAGTGGCGTTCGCCGATAATGATGGTGTTACTAAAAATAGTTTAACGCGCTCGGAAGCAAAGCATGTTGATCGATATATTTCACCCATCTAATGGGACAGCAGTGAAAGTGCAAGTCTGTCCACCACTTCATGCATTTGTTTCCCACCAATGGATCGCCATCCATGCGCGTCAACATACCGCATTATGTTGGAGGGCAACTGGAAGTTTATTCAATACACCTGAACGCTTCCCCACTGAACGGCTAAATGGGTGGTTTCAGGCTAGGTCGAAGCAGTGCACCTGTTGAAGAGTAAGAATGGTATTCTGACACATGCCGTAATCGAAAAAATACTGACGTGTTTTGTTCCACGTATTTCGTCTCCAATCCCCTGACGGGGAACGTCGGAGTTAGCCGAGCAGTGCACATGAGCCGCAGTAACCAAAGCCGATCAGCCGGAAGGCGGCGATGAACGGACGGCACACTACAGAGTCAGCATTAGTGTTGGTGTGCCGGCAGAAACCAGGTGGGGTACGCGTGACACAGGGACATGGGTGCTTTGTACAATGGTTTGCTCACAAGCGAACACCCCGAAGATCAGACAAAACCACTCACTTGTTGGGATTCGAAGGTCGAACGCTCATGCAGTGCAAAAATGAAACCGGAGCAACCCGTGATATGTTTTAGGGGGTGGCTTATCGCGGGGTGGTTTTATACCGTGAGGGCATCACGATATTCATCCATCCAGCAACAAACTTACATGACTTCTAACTTGGTGGTCTGAGACGGCAGCGGAGAATCGTAAGCCAGAATGCTATTCAGGCTTAAAAGTATCGTGTTTTCCTATACAGGGAAGGGACCGATCAACCGTGATTTCTTTTAAATGGTGAATGCTCTTGGGCAGAACAACTGCATAGGGAAGTGATTTTTAGAGTTTTTTCGAGAAGCGACAGAAGTTTACCAATAATAAATCACTCAACAACGAGGTGCAGCACTCGCTGTATCTAACAGCCTTCCACCACTGTATGATTTTGCAAAGTGATCGAAATCTTATGCGGTACTTCCCTCCATAATATGACTAACCGTTCAATGCTACCGAATTCGCCCAGCTTTTCTCAGGCGATAACGGAGTTCGAGTAGCCCTTGACGATGCTCATTTTCCACGTTCCCTCCAGTCCCCTACAGTACTATTCCGGCAAACCCTGGGTTTATTTTTTTGGTGAGACATGTCACAAGCTGAGAAAAGTTGTGCAGCCAATCCCACTTATTGGCGGTGTGACCATGGTGAGAAACGAATGATCATGTGAGGTTATATAATAATAATAAATCAGCTGTGACACCCTTCCGATACCTCACTGCCACGCCACCAGAACGAGGCACGAGGGCTGAGATGCTCACGTTGCCACAGCCTAGACAGAATAAGTCGAGGTGCAGAGGTTGGATTCGAACCACTGACATTCCAGTCAGTAAGTTCACGCCTTAACCACTGAGCTACCTCGAGATAATGTAATTTTGCCACGGGATATATTAGAACTGAGAAATCAATAAGGGAAGGAACATATTCTGAGCCACGGCAAACAAACGCGGGACGGTACCATCTTGGTTGCATGCATACGACGGGTAGAGAAGCTGTGCAGTAGTGAATCCCACGTAATTGGTTTCATTCTTTTAGGGCTTTACGATTTACCTATACAGTATCCAAAACTATGTAGACTGTTGTTACCGTTATTCACACTTCAAGTTGCACAGAAAAAAAACAGGCTTAAACTCAGAAACAGCCTACATATAGCAGTGATTTTTGGTAGATCAGGCAGTCCAGTTGATGATCAAGGTTTGCTCGCTGACCGTGCCATTTTTATCGAAAACGATTCACCATCAATCGAGGTTACTTCGTCAGCGCGTTGCTCTGTAGCGTAGAGGAGTTGGTGATTGTGCTTAGGTGATAAGTCAGTGAAGCGGGCAAACATCGAAATGAAAACTTTGCGGATGACCATAACGTAGGCCAAAAGCCTCATTTTTCTGCGTAATTTCCTGCGATGAATGTGACACACAGTATGAATTCAAAGAACGGAGTAGCCATCAGGAGAAAGTCATTGTTCTGAAAGTTACGAACAACTGCGACTAGAATCACTTGAATAATTAGAAGTGCGTCTCAATTTGTTACAGGAGTTGGCAAAGCATGACAATTCAAACGAAAGTTAGAATGATAAAATGACTCATTAGTAAGATAATCAAATGGGGTTTATCAATGCGGCATATTCACCCAAAAAACAACCAAGCCAAGTAAGGTGCGGCGGACGGTGAACTGGCCTGCGTAACAAGAACCTAGCATTAAGTTGGGTGTTCATGAACCAGGTTGTACATATATAGAGTTCTGCGTCACAGTTTTTAGAAAACAACAAGCATCAAAGAAAGACGACACTTTAAACACGTGCACTTTGATCCTTACTTCACTGCGGCGGAGGTGGTGCAGGCAGCTGAGTAGTGTACTGCTGCACTGCAGAATATGGTGGTGGCGGTACGTCCGTCCAACCTGACCCGGGTGCGTTGGCGACGGGAGCACCCCAGCCCGATCCAGGCTGGGGAGCTGAGGGTAGAACTGGAGTTGGAGCATGCTGTGGAGACGGGAACGTTGGACCTCCTTGCCCGGTTGGATATGGCGTCACTGCGCCCGGATATGTCTATTACGAAAGTCACAATAGAGCAGTGGTGAATATCAACGAAACCTTGGCCTAGTTGGAGTGCGCACTGTAGTTTACATTCTGAATAAGGTTTTCAAAATCAAAGTCGATTCAAGAAACAAGCTAGGAGGTCCAGAGATTGCAAAAGAGAATACAGAGATAACAATCTACAGACGTTAGAACAGATTAAATTCCATGCGAAAAACGAAGCCTACAAGGTATGAATCATTTGGAGAATAGCTCACCAAACAGTCATTGATAGTCCGTAACATTTGTTATACGAGTCTACCATAACGCCTTCCTTGAAGAGCGGGAATTTTGAGGGTAAAAACTTGTTCGGGAAAGACAATGAAGAAAACCTGCTAAAAAGGCATAAATATACTATGAATGAAGTCTATATTCGACGCATTTACTCAAAAGGCGACCGCGTTAATTGTAAGTTAGTCATGTTTTGGAACCAATTCCAATGTAGCAGATGCTGAGATCATTTGGAACTTTGTCCCGTGCGTACAAACCAACTATTCTTGTCGTTTCATCCAACGACAAACCTTTAAACTGAAGCAGTCTCAGTCACATTACTCGAGGCTTTACATTAGGTCTTTATTAACCAAAGAGACAACGGCAAAATTTGTATGCCTCTCAACCTATCGTTTTAGGTCATTGCAGGGTTGACAGAAGTTGCGTTCACATCAGTCTTCTTTCAGCAGTCCTCCTCTGGTCTCGACACAACTATTCTGGTTAGTCGAAAAGCACTGGACTCCAATTTCGCACCCATTGGAGTTCAGCAACAATGCAGATTCTTGGCCGTGTCGGAATTTGAACAAAAGTTAACCTGTTCACCTGATCAGTCCATTTTTAACGTAGGGCTTGCATGATGGAAAAGGATGGAACCTTTATACTTATCTCAAACTGTCTATAACTTGTGACTACTGGTAAGGCAGATTCACGGTTATCAAGTTAGTGTAGCATGCATCAACTTTATTTACGTTCAACATACAAGACATGATGAATGGGGCAAAAAAGTTTTCAAAATTCAAGACGTTCTTAGTTCCGGACCAGGAATGTATCCTTGACAAAGCCAGTTCCCGTATTTCATTCGACGAATTCGCATCGCTCCAGTATTCTTCATGTCTTCTGGTAGTGGACACATTCTTCAACTGATGTTCCGGTTGCACAACCCTTCATTCGGTTTCTGGCTGACTTTTGTGGATTCGTTGGTGCGAGTTTAGATGAACAAATGTTCTGAAACAATGGTCATTGAAGATCTGGAGACCTCTCAGTTCCGCTGTCCACAGAGTCCATGTCTCAAACCACACGACAAAACAGTCTGTACCATACGATGATATAAAGTCGTTTTGGGTTCGTGGATATGCTATTTTGCCTGTGTGTGTCGCAAATAAAAAATTGTGGTTCGGCCCACAAAAATTCTTGCGCTAACGTCGTCTCTCACACTACAGTCAAGACCGAGACAATGTTGAGATACAGCCCCGAAAAATTTTCCTTGGATTGTACAGGACGTGCTTTCTGTGACTCCATGTCCAGCAGTATGAACTTATATTACAAAGCGAATGTCAAAGGACCTTAGTTCATCCAAAAATAAGTGTTTTCGCCTCGAAAACGAGGACGATGTCGTACGCACAGTCAAGGTGGACGATACCTTCAATAACAGGGTTTTGAAGACCTTTTGGCGTGTGTGTTCGTACCTTGTCGATAAAAAGACTGAAAAAAAGTTGAGAGTGAGAATCCTTGATGGACACCCCTTTTTGTTAATAAAACACTTAGACAGCTCTCCACATACTTATACGCCAACGATTCTGATTATGCAAGGCGTTCGATGCACGCACCAACTTTCACATGAAGTCTACTAATTCGCTGCATTGAATTATGTTCGAAACTGGCAGAAACACTCCTCTGAGATTCAAGCAATGCCACCATTGTGCTTGATTGGAGATGGCTGTACCATGCAGAATAAAAAGCTCCCGGTATTTTGTAGGGATATAGCGGTCTCTTTCCAGTGCAGACTAACCTTGGTGGGGAAGCAGTTTAACTTTGGAATCTACGAGCTGAGTGAGTTGTCCGCTGCTTGTGAGTTCATGCTAACGACTCTGGATGAGTACATGGTTACAATCCACAGAGGCGGTTCAAAACAGTAGGGTATCGATCCATGTCATTGCTTGCTGATGGCAATGTGGTCCATTTCTGTCAGTGGCCGCAACACTATTGAGGAGTACCACGTAACCAGATGATTTTCGCTAGTCTGAAGGTTAGGAATGCATAAGAAGTGTCTGTGGTCAGCACATACTTGAGAGAGTCGATTGCGGTTGCCCGGAAGTATCGAATCGAAACCAAGTTGACCACCCAACTGTGTTTCAACTTTGCTTGCTCTGCCCACCTGTATATTCACAGACCCACAACGATAGCTGGGATTTCAGCCGCTCTAACAGAGTAATCGAAGTACCATTCAAAACTGTCTTTGATAATATCAGAACTGCAGTCTGTTGAGGCGAAGGCGGACAAGATAATCAAACAATAATTAACATTTCGTTTGTTAGATTCTTGTATGACGTTTCAAAACGAACCACAGAGAAGCTGCCATCGACGGACATTCATTCAACCAAGGACCTTTCCACCTGGTGAGTTAGAATGATGCCCAATCTGGTATATTCTATCGTGGTGGTCTTTGGATCACCATAGGTTCGCAACCAGGAGCAGGAAGAGAAAGATGGGGCTCGAATTTCGAATTCTCTTTTCCGATACATAACATGGATCAACTCAAAGCAATCCCACCTTAGAAGCAGTAGCATCCATCAAAGACAACCCGATAAATCGGGTCTAGAGGCTTGAGGAGTGATTTCTAAGTACTTGAAGCTGCTGGGATCGACCGACACGCGGATTTCGTAGCTAAAGACGATGCAAGACCTGAGTTTGGTGAGCTAAACGGCTAAAAACAAACGTTCTCGTTTCACACCTGAGATGCGAGGGTACAGTGGTTACGGTTGCTCTAACTATTCTGGGAGTTACAAAATTTCCTGAATTCCGTCTCCACTGGCTGATCTGGGTTGTGACGGTACCTGTCTGTCTGCTTGTCTACATATAAAGTGAATATCCAACATATGGACAACAGAATAAAAATCGATCCAAATAATAATGCCTAGTGTTACTGTTATAAACCTACCAAATTTAGGGACATCAATTCCGCATACATATAGCAATCGGGTGGAGCGACATGACTGAGAGAAAAACTACCTACCGGTTTGGCCGGTGGACCTGTGTAAGCTCCCGGTGACTGCGGGGTATGAACCGGAACAGGTGGAGGAGTACCAGGAGAGCGGCGGCGTCGGCAGCAGAGACAGTAAACCAACAAGCCGACCAGGACAACTACGCAGATGACACAGATCGCTCCGCCGAGTAATCCCCATCTACAACGTGAAATGTTAGCATATCCTGTGACCATGATGGTTTGGGTGCCAAGATAAGTGATCTACGCAACGGAGCATAAAAAATCCACGTACTAAAAACATCATAGTTAGGCAAGCAAACCCAAAATAACAGAAAAGCGGAAAAATAGAGCCAAGATTGCCAAGGAAGCATGGGAGAGTATCAAATCAGTCAGAAAGCCAAAACCAATCGAAAAATCCCTGTTGTATTGACCATCGGTAGTTAGTCCGAATATAACTCAATTAATTGCGACGGTCGTGGACCTAACCAGTACAATGGCCTTACCAGCGTAGAGTGCCAGTGTAGTTCGGATATCCTGTTCTGTTCCCTGAACTACTGTTATTTCTAACTATAATGATCAGAATAATTGGATGGACACTCGTTTTTTGCACGAACTCAGTCCTGCCTTTTTAAAACGACCTAAGGAAGACACAAGAGAACGTTCCGAGCGTTTTGGTACGCAAGCTGATTTACCCCTGATAGGCGAAAATGACAAAGTCGGCATGAACTGTGCCTATTTTCGGGGGCTTGGAAATGTGTATTTTTGGTTATTTTCTATGAATTTTCAATGGGATTGGTATCAGGACTATGTATGTGTCAATATAAAAAGTTGGTGTTCCGGTAAAACAGCCACACTTTTCTTCTATGAGAATGTATGCAAGGTTCGGCTGGAGTATGTTCTCACTCGACGTAGGACAATCAGCTCAATGTGTATTCGTTTAGCGCAATGGTGTTTACGATCAGTTCAGGTCAAAAACTTGGATTGTGCGACCATGAAACGCCATACCGCGAACCACAATACTATAGCTATGTGGTAAAATACATTCAGCTCAAGAATGCGGATAACAATTACTTCTACGAGAGAAACAAGCATTGTCCGTATAAGTTTAGTCATTTTGACTGGTACTTCATGAATGAGTCTAAAAGTGGTTGAACGGTCAACCGTCTGTTAAGAGCAGGAAGTTAGGATAAAAAAAGAACTGTTGACGCCGTGTCGTAGGCCGTCTACCACGCGGACGGTATGTGCTCAGGCATGCATGTTGACAACCGCCTCGTCATTCGACCGATACACCTGTCTCCAAAAGCGCAGAGAAATTCAAAAACAGATTGAAGCGGTCTGAGGAGGAAATTTGCCTTCGAGCTCTTGCCTGATGGGGTGGGTACTGCAAATCAACATTTAAACATGCAGCGTGACATTTTCCGGCAAACGCCTTTTGAATTCTTCGCGTCAGCACTTTATTGACCACACCGTATTTGGAATGAAGACGGAAGCAGAACAGTGCGAGCTTTGTCTCCGGTACATCGTGGTCTCGAGGTCTCGGCTTGAGAGCGTTACTGCAAACAGTTCTGGGTGGCACTTTTGACACATAAAGGTCCAATTTCTTAATCAAAGTGTTCACTGAGCAGATGCCTTTTTTCTCCACGTGAGCCACGTTGGTGGAATCTTTAGATAGCAGAATCGTCTAGTTATAAATGGCAAGAACTTTTTTCTCATTTGATTCCAAAATCTCTTATAGAAGGCGTTGAGATGGATGAGCTATGGCTAACTCTAGGTGAGCCACTCGATTCTTAACGAAGTGTTGGCTACTCCCAGTCGGTCTTATTGCTAAGCGCTCGGAGCGCATTAGCAGCAGAACTTTGATACCCGTCATCGGTTTCGCGAATATGTCCCATTTCCAACCCATTCTTGGTGTGATATAGCCCAATCACTGCTGCAAGAGCTGTTTATTGTTCTCTTCCGATCGCTANTTCCGATCGCAGCTCGTTGGAAAAATCATAAGAATCTGCAGTTTGTTTCAGTGAAAAATAAAGAATTATCTGGTTGCTGTAGCAACAACTCTTTTAGGTAGCGTCGAAATTCCACTTTGATTAGTCGCTAAGACTGGCTTACTTGCTGAAGGATACACACTTTGTTGATACCCTATTCATCAACTGAATGTTTTCTGGAGGCCAAAGACTCGATGACAAACGCTTTGCGACGTGAGCAAATGAATTATTCCTCATTGATCGTGACCAGTCTTGTCCCCAACAATTTGGGAGTAATCTTTTTTACTTCTGGCATACACCATTTTTGGTCCCAAATACGAGTGCGACTACAATTAGTGACCATCAGCTGTAGTGAAAAGAAACAGCCCTCGTACAACGTACGGCAGTGAAGCATCGGTGTTCAACACTGATGTCATGCTGTCATGATAATGATTGGCCAATAAACAAACTACCCCTATAACGGTGATACTACTGATGGGGGAGGCATGCGAGTAGTATGATTTCTCACAGATCTGCTTTGCGTCTCTTGAAAAGTGAAATGTATTACGGAATTTGTGGAGTTGATCTGTAGCATTTGCTTGGATTTGAACAACAGTCAGTGAAAATCTAGAAAAGTTCAGTAAGACGCGTTAAAAGAGAGGATGGATATTCAGTTTTTGCAAACAAGATGCATATGAGTCCCCTGTCCAATAGTCTGTAACTGTTCAGTTGGTGGTTTCTAATAAATAACTCCGCAGCGAAAGCCTTGTTCCTTTCACCCCGTTTGTGGTGCTGCTGCATGACAAGAGAATGCTTATCGGGGCTGAAGTGTGACCACGGGGACATACAACAGGATATTTTGGAAAAGTTAGGTCGGTACTCCTTAGGTAGAGATCTCTGTGTATTGTTCTCTACGAGGTTAGGATTGTGCACTAAGATTGCTAACTGTACTATTACACTGAGGGATAGAATGACACTAAGACAATAGCGTCAGAGCACAAATATAGTTTATTATTTATTTTCAAGGGTCATGAGAACAGTCCATAAAACAGTCGACTTAGTGAAGATACGGAACCAAATACCCGAATGATAGAATCAGCTGTTCATGTAACTGGTCAAATCCTCGTAAACCTCCAGTGAAGTGCACAGAAGGCGTTGCTGATGGAGAACATTTTGTTTCAGTCTGTTTTGCCATTGACACAAAGCAACAGAACAATTACAAGAACATACTATCATCTACAACAAACTTGTTGATATCATGTACTGATCTCTGAATGTAACGCGACACTCACTTGCTGTATGTGTAGTATCGTCTGAAAAAGGTAAGAATGAAAAACAATCAAGCTACCAGAACCCTTCAGTCGGCTCCACAGCGCACCGTTTGAAAAAAACAAAACTTGAACACAGCACCAAGACAAAACGGACAAAACTACAGTGCAACAGGATATCCCTGAAAAGCTGACGAGGTCTTCGGGCTTAGTAAGTTTAACTGCAGTTTTTCAGGCGATCGGTATGTCCCAATAAGACGGAAATTGGATAGCCAGAAAAGAATATCTGATTACAGACTTTATTTGGCCTGCACTTTCCATGGTAGAATTCATGGTGCTCAGCGTTCTCAACAGCTGGGGCCAAGATCGTTATGTCGGACATAGCGAATCCGATATCGTTATTAGGCGAGCACTATAAAATCAAACGCGAGAATCTGTAATGTCCGTTCCCTCGGCGTTATCCTGAATATAACAGACCCATTTCAAGAAAAGTCTTAATTGCGGCATTGTGGTGGGTAAACGAGATCCAACCTGCTTCAATGAACGTGATGGCGTGGTCTCTCATTCGGTTACCAGGTTTGCAAGCTCAATTTTGGACGTAATTAGGTAGGGGTTCGGACGGGTCGGCGAAAAATTCATGGCGAAATCACAAGAAACTTTTGAACTTCAGCAGTGTTTGACAAATTACCAGCCGAAAGTAATCACCTCAGTACGAAGAAATTAGTTTGCCAACTCTATAGTCAAGATAATTTTAGCGTGCCGTTTTCTAGGGACAGCGAGAAAACTACTACCCAAATTGGCTGCGAGCGGTTTGGTTCTCAAAAAAAAAAACGTCAAAATCCCACTAGTGAAAGTTACGAAGGAAATATTGCAGCAGTGAGAATACTGTTAACCACAACTAAGTAAGCACGTATTATGAAGAAGGACTACCGAGAACATTCACCATCACATAAAGTCTAACGGGTAGGGCCGCAAATTAAACAAGCGATCTTCCCAATTTGTCCTCCCACTAAAAATAGAACACTTCGTTTCAGTTCACGGATAATTGGATAAACTCATGAATAGATCAGATTGTACAGGGAGCCCTCAACAGTTTATCTACCAGCGGAACTATACAGCAAAGATGTGCATTCTCTCCATTTTTATCCAACCTTATCACTGAAGACAGATTGAGACGGATTCGAGAGGCTTCTGAAATCTGAGTGTTTGACGGACTAAGGGGGGAAACCTTGCTGACCTGAGATACCCAAACGATATTTTCCTAATATTTGAAAATGACCAAGCTCAGACCGTCTCTCTTCGTGACTCTGAAGGGCACAGTCATACTCCAGAAGAAACAGAAATTGGACAAACCATTTGCAATTCAAGGGGAAGCATCAAGTTAGCAGGTGCTTCACGTGACTTTGAAGCTGTAACACGTGTGAGAGCAATGTGCTGGATGAAGTCAGAGCGCAAATCTGGAAGTTTAATTCGTGCCACTTGCGGCATCAAAAAGCCACATAAATAGATCTTAGAGTTCTTTTGCATTAGATTGCAGCGAGGGCTGTTGTAGTAGTGAGACAGACTGTGCGATCAGAAATCATTGATCGTCTAGAGCAAAGGAAAGGAAGATCTGGATTTTGAAACATCTGCGCAGACTGAAGAATGGATTGTAGATAGCGGGTAGAGAAGAGATCTAGGCTTAAGTAAATCGAGTTCAAGGAGTGTGTCGGAGCACCGAAATGCCGTAACTGCAGTATCTGCAATATGTCCTGAACGCCCGACCGAATGGATGCGCAATCAGTCCAAACAGTTTTGCAGTTTGTAAGGTGAATTTCTCTGCATTACTTAACGACCCATCCAACATAGATTTAGGCCACGCTGTACAATTACCTCAAGTCTACGTAAGGATGGAGTTTTTCAGTCCACCTGCGGAGGTTGAATTTCGAGGATCGATGACCAAGATGCAAAGGTGAAAGCAACAGTGTTGCCATCAGAAGCGATCAACCTGGGAGACTGAAGCGTTCCGCAAGAGCTAAAGGACATCACAATCACACCAGTGTTCAGGGGAAAGGGGACCCGACAGAAAACTGTCAAAGTTCGAAGAATCATCTTTTTCTGCACTGCATGCAAAATCCCGTCATGTAAATTTTCTCGACCGAATGAACATACGAATTCCGGAAGAAAATATCCCCGAAGAGCAACGTAGGTTCGGGAGAGAATGTAACTTTACTGGATTAATCTTTGTAACATTGTCTGTAAGACCAACTGACAACGAAATTAGTTGTCATAATGGGCTAGCTACACTAGAGCCAAAGAAATTGAAATCGAATGAGTAGACGTCAAGGACAGGGATAAATGAAACAGCAGAAAGGAGCGTAGGCACAAACCCCATCCACAAACCGGAAACATTAGGACGGTGAACGGTTCGGAAACCGGAGATGGGTGAGGTAACCAGACCTCAGATACCCCTAAATATGGGTTTCCATGAGGGGCAGTATAGAAACAGTCAAGGGGAGTAAAAATGGGTGAACCGAGTTATGTTTACAGTTCAAACCACAAATGTTTCAATGAGATTTTGAGGGGCCTTGAGACGGAACTGGGCGTCGAATCATTGTGGTTTGTATTTATGTGATTGATCAATGATGAACCGGCTTCCCAATCAGGGGTTCGGAGTGGCGAGCTACATATAATGTTACTTCCCCAAGAGAGAGGGTAAACCCTCGATCATCAGGTAGAACAGTCTACCACCGGGTAAAGCAATCTGCCATCTAGAACACCGAAATTTTTACCGGCAAGTTTTTGAGGTCTGTTGCGCGGCTGAACCAGAGCAATTTTCAGATGTTCTTAGGAGTTTTTAGCTTCAATCATTTCTTGAAGGCTCTAGATCCAATAACCTTCCAGTCACCGAGAGTATTTCCATCAGTTGAAGTCCGATTGTGCGCCGACGGGCTTTGCACTTGTGACCAGCTGGAATGCACTTCTGAAACTCAAGTACAACTTAATTCGAAGATCCAGTGCTTCGATAAAATGGTTTGAAGTGATCCGCAAGCGGAGCACCCAGCACCTCACATGGCTACACCTCCAATCCGAACTTGGTTCCGCACAAGTACGAGCTGAGAATCACTACAACTGGGTGGTTACCCGGAGATTTACCAGCTCATCTGCTGTAAGGCGAGATTCGCACTTCCCTGATCTGAGTTCATGTATTTCGAAACGAGTGATAATCAGTGACTGCTTCACAACATTTATAGCTGCTAGCACTGCCGTCAAATCATGCTTTGGGTTGGCTCGTATGCGGTGGACACCTTGTAACCAAGTGATTTAGATTGGTCCCGGGACATGCACCACGAAGAAACAGCTTGCATGCAGTTAGCCAAAACGCGTCGGCCTACTGTGTTACAAGAAGCACTGAAACGGTCGGTGAGCTCAAAGTATTCTGGGAGATCTTTAATCAATTGCGAAATGTCTGAGATCGATCGAGTGGTTATCGTTTCAGAGAGGTTTGGCAAACACGAGGGAATTATTGCCGGGCAACGTTTCGGTTCTGACACAAAAGCTTCATCAAGCAGTGATCAAGTCGCCAGCTCGGTCGCGTTTTAAGGTATCCAGGGAGTCAATCAATGAGGTTTCTTATGACTAACGACTTCATCAGTGCTGGGTGTCATTCTGAAGTTATGGTTTGTTAATTTGTGGAGATCAGCCGATAGGTCATCAATGATGCCAACCTATTGGGCACCCAGACCACACGGCTTCATCAGCTGTTGTCCTACGAAAAAGAGGCTTTTCCATTAGATTGCCCCACTCAAGCCTATCCAAAACCTGGGTAATGAACAGTGGCTTCAAGCAGAACAAGTTCCGGCTAGTTCATAACGATGATGACAAGTGGATTTGCTTCCAGATGGAACCAGAAACCTTACCGATCGAACTTAAGACAAGGGAGGTGATTTTGCGAACATCTGTTACATACACCTTGCGTATTTCGTTATCCTTGCTTCTTACTATTTTCGAAACGTCCGGTAAAAAGACAAATGCACTTGAAAGGTAACCTTCGTAGAAAGCTATCTAAGCTGTCAGATGAACGACTACGTATTGAATGAGTGGAGTAAAGTCAGGAGGAAAAACGGGTACTGTGTGTGCAAGGAAAGCGACTACATGGGACCAGCGAGCAACTGAAAATAAGCTCATATTGTAGCAAATTCCAGGCTCTGGACCGCTGACTATTTTTCAAAGGTTAATCAATTATCATACCGACCAAACGAACGTAAACGAAGAGGTCATAGTAAGATCGACAAATGCACCAAGATAAAATATGAATAGTTTTCTGATCAATAACGAATCAAGTAAATCAACCGACTACTACTTCACCTTTTATGAACGAGATAATATATTCTGACTGGCAGATGTCACATCCAGAGTGATCAACCTTAATGGCCGGATCTAAGTTCGCTAAAGTTGGTGTGCTATTAGTTGGTTTCGTAGTAAAACTGTGATGAGTTGGTGTGGTGCAAATTTAGTCTTATTGATAAGTTCTAAACTCTGGTCTAGCTGCAACCACTAAACAGCGATAGACGGCAGCTAGTAGTTTTGTACTGTGTTTTACTCTGTATTACATCCGTCGGCTCTTATGGGATAATAAGGTGGACTTTGAATGTCACCTAGCCTCCAGACAGACAAATCAGAAAGGTAGATTGACAAGACAGCAGAGAAAGCAATTATCTATTACCAATCCACAGAGTAATGACTGTCCATTCCATTCGTGTACCACGGAATAAAATCCAATGCATGCGTCACCAAATCCCCTCGGTAAACCCAAGAACCATCGCAAGGTCAAAGGGGGGTCGTTTTTTGAACGTGCCCCTGATCATGTGGGTAATGTGAGCCCAAGGATGTTCAAAACTCTGTTTGAAACTGAGGCCTCACGTGACTTTGCCCATCCACAACGCACCTGACTGAAATACATTGACGGTATACTTGCCACCATATCAACCATACAACGACAAGCAGTCTTAAACTGTTTGAAAGAATAATGCGTTAGCGTTGCCACGCCACCCGAAGAAAGCGCGAGGAGTGGGATACCACCAGAGTGCCCAAGCCTAGACAGGGGAAGTCGATATGCAGTGGTGTAAAATTCACTACGAAAGCTGAGGGCGAACAGGGAACTACTGGTTTCCTGGGCTGAAAGCTATCTGTTAGCATCAACCATGGATTCTCAGTGGGAATCCACAGGAAACCTAAAACTTTTGGACAGGCTATTGCATTATGAATCCTCTCAGCCACCCAACGTCAAAAGCACAGCAATCGGATCGTTGGCGAATAGTTTAAAGAAACTATGCTCGGATGAAACCAACTTCAGTTCCTACTGAGACGGCTCAGCAGGGTACTACGACAAAATAAATACCCTATCGGATTCATTGCCCAACAAACGGGCAGAACGCTACCCGTAACGGTGAGACAGGGAGACGAAAACCCTGTAGTCGCCTTAGGAATATCCTATGGAAAAGACATTTTGGACACTATTCTAAATATACTTCGGGGATTATGGTATTAAAACATTCTTCCGAATGGGTAACATTTTACTACGACACCTTGTAAGGGCTAAGGTTCCTATCGAACTAAAACACCGAACAAACTGCGTCTACGAAATTCCCAGTGCAGAATGTCCAGCTAGCTACATAGGCCAGACAGCCAGGCGACTCCACGTGCGAATCACGCGGCACAAACGACATGCGCCTCTTCCTTCAAGAAATCTAATCGAGTTTTGAAAAACTAGAATGCGACTCAGTCATTTCACTTCACGAACTTGAGTCAAGCGATCAAATCAACTTCGATGACGCATGTATACTCCAGTCGGGATTCAAGTCACACAGAACGGACGCGCACTGAAACAACCGAACTGCGTCAACGGCATTGACGGTGCCAGCATCCTGTCTATCTGGCTTGGACATATTGCACACCTTATTAGGCATAATGGCCAGAGGTCAAGCAGGAATCTCAACAATGACACAACACAGTCAAACTACACACAATCACCCATGCAGGCACATAAAGCTAACACACACACACACACACACTGATCCAGTTGACTGCCAAATGATCTCAGGAACAAACCAATCCGAAGAAACGACAGCGGAACCAGCTAACGGTGTAGTTAAATTATATTCCATTAATTGGTGAAATTCGAAAAAAGATTGTACACGGCAACTGAAACGTCAGATTATAACACCGTAATCCAATACGCTGTATTTTGACTTTAAACCTCCCTCCAACACATGGCGATCACTCTGTTTAACAAGATCCGAGCCGAGTTTCGTCCGAAACACCTAAGCGGTAAGTGATTTTAGGAGCACAAAACTGCGGACAGACTATCTAGACTAGGTTACTGAAACATCAGGTTTGTGCTTCTGATGGAAGATGCCAGTCCGTGGGTTATGGTACGGTGCGATTGGTCGGGTAGAGCACAGACTAATCGGATAGGAAATAGTGACAAGAGGGACTTACACTTTCTCGTCGTATGAACAGCACACACCGGATCCTCGCAGTTTATCCCAACAACAGTAGCGTTCAAACGGTTGGTTCGGGTCATCCGGACACAAGAAGTGGGAATAAGTACGTACATCACCAGACAGACTGCTCACTTCGACGTGTCGACCTTCGCATACTGTGTACTGGTCTGGGAAGGGGTGTTAGTTGAACAAACAGTCAACCGAAAACATTATTAGCAGTGTGCAAACTTGATCAGTGCTACTATTTACACATGCACGAATTTCACGCACAATACACAAATGAAAACGAGGTACGTTGTGACCGGACAGATGGACTCACGTACACACGATGGTCAGTGTACTGCATGCAAACATGGTAGTATGTCACTAGCAAGAAAAACAACCACTTAGGGGCTAGACATATTCGATAACAAGATATAAGGCATGTCAGTAATTTTAGCCTGATAAGCCATACGAGTAGAGCCAGAGAAAGCACCGCTGAACTGCTTCTTGATACCATCTCAGAACCAGATCAGTGAATGACTTCAATGAAGACGCATGAAACACACTTAGAACTGAAGGGATTAAAAACCGGTACGGCCAGTTGAATGGAACCAAGTGACTCCAGGCATAGTGCATAGATGGATCGGCGAAATGCTGAACTGCAGCAAAAAAGAGGAGTTCCCCTAAGACACAACACCGATACAAAAAGCTTTCATCCACCCTACAGCACTGCATGTCCGCATGTAGCCCAGTTTTCGTCAGAACGGAATTTCAGTGAGGAAGGAACCTTCCAAAGACTTATCTCTTTCGCCTTTCGTTTAGTCGCAGAGAGCCCGTTTATGTTGAAAAATACTGGTAACTGCACAGTAGTTGTAGATGAAGCTGTCCGGCATTTTCAAGGAACGAATGACAAATACAATACAAACTATCACCAACGTGGCAGGCTAACAACTGGCCGGTGTGTTGCTGTCAGGACTGTCATTGGTTTGGAAGTCAAATGCGAACAGCCTTCGTATGATGAACTAGGCCGAACCGGATGGCAGACAGCTCGAGATCACGAGGCCTGTTAACACACGGTGTTACGTTATTGACCACGATTCAGCATAGCATCTGTGTGCACACTTCCAGAGTATGTTTAGTTCATCAAAGTTAGCTACTGCGTGGAGTGGAACCAGTGAGTCCCGCTCGCGTTTCTTGGGGCAGCCTGGAAGTTTCACTTGTGCATTTAATTGTGGACAGAATTGGCGGAAATAATCTTGAAGCCACAGCTAGCATGGTATTAAGGACTAACAGTGTACACGACAAATATACTCATTTGCAAATCACTTTGGTTTTCACGTTGGACTCAGCGGAATCTCTCGTTTATGATAATCCTCAACTGAATGTGCTGCACAAAGACCTTCTCATGAGTGTATTTGTCACAATCAGTCCAATTTGGGTTCAAGTAGAACATAAGGTTGACGGAAACTCGGAGACTACGCCTACCTGACGAGCCCTAAAAGGGCGAAACCGGTCGTGGATTGTCAACGAATTTTCAGCAAACTTGAGAGTAGTTTCCTTTACGATAAAAAAGAATTACATCGTTCTTTGTAAAAATCAACTACCTCTGTAATGTGGTGTCCGTTTGGAAGCTATGCAGGTTTTGAATGCTTTCACAAGTGTTCCGCTGGTAGGGAATATGGTTGGTGTGCGGTCAGAAACGTTCTCACCAAGAATCAACCATGGCGCCTAAACACTTCCAACTCTTTCGAACTCAGCTCAGAGATGATCTCTCAAAGTTGTGGTGTGTCTTCGCACAATAGAACATTATAAACAGCACGGAATGAGATTTAAGCAATCCAAATCTGAAGCCCATCCTTAGACTGACCAGCTCTCTCTTGAGAGGTTGTCACTCAAGGGACAAGATAAGGTGGTACGAATCTGACGGCCTTTTTCCAACGGTACTGTTAGCGCTTCGGATCGGTGATGAGAAGGCATGTACCAAGATAGTTTCAGGAATTTGTAGAAAGTCACTCAGACAGTGGACATTGTTGAGACCGCTGTAGTCGAACCGGTCACCAAAATATTTTTGGCGAATTCAGTTTGAGCAGTAGCCGTCATACGAGGCGTGTACGACGTGTGGTTAATATGATTATACCACCAATATTGCGGGAAAAGGTGGTATACACCTTGTTGTAATGTGCCATTGTAGTCTGTTGCAGAAAGAATAAACAACTTCAAGGCCAATATGCTAAAGGGAAACGTGACTGTTTGATAATGGCAATAAAAGTACGGTAAACAAGCAGTGCGTATGCAAACATAACAAAGACTGTAGTCATAGCATTCACTTTTACCAGAACAATATAAATGTATAGTCACGTTACCACGACAACACTGTTTACATATTTGACGCCTAGAAGGGGACGAAAGTTGTCCAAATCGGCGCCAAACAAAACGCGAGTTTCGGTGTAACCGTAGTGTCAACCAACGAAAAGCGTAGACAAAAGCAAGGCCATATAATCAGGCAAAAACTCTAATCTACCTGTGTGATTTATCTGAAAGCACATGACATCCTGCTACTTTCAGTCTTAGCGTCAGTAGTCAGATAAGCCTGTACGTGCAATCACTCATCGTATTAAAAAAGAACAGCCCTACAGTCACCTGGGGAACAACACGGAGCGAACAAAAGCTAATCGTTAGGGCATCCACTAAATAGACTTCATTCTCGGGTGACAAAAGTGTCATCCAACCAATTACAAATGCAGCTGCACGAAACCGTGAAGCAAAATGGCCTGAAATCAAGGTGTGAAAGGCCTAAAGGCACTATTGATGTTGTAGGGAACCTCCTTAGTGGTGTTAAATGAAAGATCGAATATCAACTGATATGGCGTGTGCCTAAAAAATTGGATCTGGGAAATGTGTTAAGCTATGAGAAACAGGGAGAATGAGATGGCTTCGGAGTTCAACAAAAGATTGCCAGGGACTGTCTGCGACGTTTGGCTGGAAGAGACCCCAATGAAGATATGCATATCCGACCTCGGTTTGCAGCGATCGGTGTATCTGCCAGCTGCCCAGCGGACAAATTGATGGAATGTCTCTCCGACGTGCACTCCGTACTGGATCAGGGTGGCTGACAACAATCACCTGCTTAAAATAGGCATGGTTCGCTCATTAAGTTGTTCTTAGGCTGTTGACTGTTTGCAAAGTGCGACCAAACAGAGGGTGAATGATGGTCAGCCGACGGCGTAGTTTTAAGCTTAGTAAGACTTAGTAAGACTGCCTGATAGTATTTATCAGATTGGAAATCCTATTCGACGGTTGAAGACCATATGCTACAGCAGTCTGCCGTAGTCAGTGGCAAGGCTGGTTCTAGAGTTTGGTTTCCATCCCTCGCTACTTCTACTTTAGTCTCCTCTATGGTACTCACATTCGCTCACAGCTATTCAGTTTAACGAGAAATCGCAGGTTTGACTCAAACTTAAAAATCACTTAGGAATTCGTGGTTCGGTAACAAGGCGCATGAACTGAGTAGTAGTACTGCAAAATATAGGCGTCAAACTTACAGAGATCATGATAAGACCGTAAGTGAATGCGCGGCCTCATTCGACTTGCGATGTAAATGCCACCCAAAGCCGCCGCAGTGGGAAACAGATATTTTAACTTGCCCTTAGATCTGCGGAGCAGAGGAAGGAGAAGGAAATTCACGAGGATAATGCAAAGAGTAGCACTGTTTATGTAGCTGATAAGCAAAATATTGGTGGTAGCCAGAATGACGGTTCATAAAAATGATTTAACGTAGAACGAGAGATTATAACATCAGGCAACAACTACGGACTGTACAGTAATTTGCAATCAGCATCTCCAAAGACAACCGATAATTGAAAATAGTGCAGAATATTGATAAACGTATGATGCTACGGTCATACTATTCTAGTGGATTTATTCGCAGAAGGTAGAGGGGCGTTTCAACTGTACCTCTAACCTCTTGATTAATCCGTTTGTACCGGTCCGGGATTCTACACGGCACGTATATTTAGTCCCAACTCGCTGTGCAGAACACTTGTTCCAACTTTAAATGGCTGACATCGTACTATTTCACCGAAGCGGTTTTTCGGGAGTAGTCACGAAAAGTTGGGCGAGTAATTAGCATTTATGACAGAAGATGGGGTGAGAATCGATGAACTGAGTGAATAAAAAAGTGTACTGAACATGAGATAGAGATAACTCACAGACTCGACGCGCGACTGTAATAACTTCGTTGGGAACCATATTTCTTTCTATAGCGATCTTTGGCATCAGATCCAACTAATATGGATTAGAAAAAGGAAAAACAATGAGATTATTAGCAACATAAATACAGTTCCCGCAATTTGGACCGTTATCGAGCTTTGAACAGAACCCCACAAGAAGTATCTTCGATGGAAAAAGAACGAAATTTCGATTTCTGTTTATTTTAGAACTAGTTATATACAATTTACACCTTGGTAAGAGAAGGCGGGTTGTTCGGGTTACTATTGTGTTGGTGTGATTAGCTGTCGGACGTAAGCCTCAAACAAGGAACTAGAAAATGCTTGAGATCGACTAAGAAGTAATCGTTTCGGGAAAAAGATTGAAAAAGGGTTCAAACAAAATTCCTTGGGCACCGTTCCCAATGAACAGCGTCACTGCTGTGCTTGTACTCCGGTGGCTTGGGCTGACTCTATGTAACCTGTTCGACAGGCCAAGTGACTAGGCTCAGAGGTTGATCAAGATTTAAGGCGGAAGGAGAACCAATCAGCCAAGTCAAGCTAAATTTCTGTAGGTGTCGGCCGAGGGATTTTTGTGCGTTGGGGTGGGTGAACAAGTGTTGGGCCGATGGGGAAACCTACATGTGTTTGAGCCCAACCTATGGTCTAGTGCTTCTGGTTCAGTCCGTTTGATGATCCCTCTTGAACGTCGTTTAAACCGTCTAATCGTCTGTGTGGATGAGCTAGTGCTAAGATGGTTGCGTAACGGGGATGCTGTGAACTTTGGTCGGGTTGGGATTTCCAACCCCACTCCCAGTTTTTGCTAATGATTCTACGTGGAATGACAATCACGCACCTACGTGTCAACCCGGCTTATCTAAGACCGCTTTCAATACGCTCACCAGTTCCACACCCTCGATTCTATTCACGCTGCGATGCTTAGTAATTTCCACCGCCTCGGCTATCAGCCACTGTGGTGTAAACCGCTGTCCTCGTTGTTGGCCAAGTCCAACAGTCTTCGAATAACCTCCGATGTTCCTGCTTTACATGGAATGACTGCTGTGCGAATCCATTCGCTACTGGATCTAGATACTCGAACCAATATCTTTCTTAGTTGACGCTCAGTCAAACTCACCGGGTATCCTATTTCTTGAAGTCTGTTGGCGATCTTGAATTGAGCTGACGTTAGGTCGATCTCTTCTGTGCACAGCACTCTGACTCGACGAAACATCGATGAGACAATACTGGTGTACACGGACTATGAGTGTGCTGATGAGTAGTTCAAGGCGGTTCCTGTGTCTGTTCGTTTCTGTTAGATCATGGTTTTTAATTTCCCACCTGAGTAAATTTAGCAAGGCTCATTAATGTAACGTGCACAGCTAGTAAGGTGCCATTCTGCTCTCACTTGAGTGTGTTAGGAAATCACAACAGGTCTGTAAATGAGGCAAAAATGCCTATATGAGGCTGTTAATCGTTCTGTTCAAAGGGACAGACTCTGGTTATGGACGCTCTGCCGAACGAGATGAAATGAAAGCTACCACACAAACCTCAGATTTGAAAAATAACATCACAAGATACTAATATTAGTTCACATAGCAGAGACGAGTCGCATCGGTTTCTTGATTTATTCAATTAATGATGCTTTAGTCTCACCCGTTGGACCATGTTAATTGATTAGAAAGGAAGATAAAAATCTTTTGCCTACATTTCAAGGGGCGATCTGTTATCCTGGCATTGATCTTGCTGACTGGGTAGCCAGATACAATACCTGATTTCTGTTCCAATGTATGTTTTACGTTCCTACAGCCAGGTAAGACCGGCGTCATCCACTTCCCTTCATATGACCTTTGTAAAAACAATTCAATACAAACGAGCATATTTACATATTCTTCACCAGTGATTAAGTATAGGTTGCTGCTTGGGCATACTCGTACACTGCATTTAAGTTCGTTTGTTGAGCAAGAAAACGTTTAATTTTGCCACCTCGGGTATAATACGAGTTTCCATTGCTTGACTTACTGATATGTTACCACCGCACTGCTATTAAGCGCTGTCCCACCGGAGACAATCGATGTGCCCATGGCTACGTAAGTTCGGACAAAAATTCAGGTCGCAAAGGTAACCTCTGCTTCCTGTGGCTTAGAAATCTCGTATTTTTGGCACTATAATAGATACATACTTGAACGCTCGTGGGTCAACGCAACGTGGTCAAACTGTTCAATCTCACTCTACCAGCAAGTTTGTCCAAACCAGAACGCCACGAATGATGCCAATTTTAAGGCACTCACAAAAGTTTTAATAGCGGGCCCTGGAAACAATGGCACTCACTCCTTTGGCTATACCGCTATCTGAAGGTAGCACCCACGTAGATGAATTTATCAATCACCTCTAGCGTCATCACCATCATCACGCGACGGCCGATGCGTCACAGACACCACGATCAGGTTTGTTGTATCCAGTCGGTCCAGAAGTAGCACTCTCCACTTTGCTCCAGAACATTTAAAAGGGCGAGGCGACATTGCGCAGGAAGTTATTACATTTCGTATTTGAGTAGAATGGGGGGCGAAATGGCTCAGTGGTTAGAGCGCAAATTTACTGATCGGAGGGTCAGTGGTTCAAACCCGACCTCTGCCTCTTGACTTCTGTCCAGGTTTGGGCAACCTGGCAGTATCCCAGCCCTTGTGCCTTTTTTGGGTGGCACGGCAGCTAGACACCGAAAGGATGCTACAGCTGGACGATCTGAGTAGAACTCAAACCAAGTAGTACGACACCATATGCATAACCTAGAACACTTGTCTCATCTCCTAGAAGGAGTTCAAGGCCCATGTAAATGTTTCCATAATAAGAACTTCTAGTATAATGTTGAGCTGTGGGCATAATAATACGTGATCTGATGAGCTACACCTTATCTGGTTAACTTAGGAGAAGATTCGCCGTAGATCCTAACGCTCGTACAGGCCTGACACTCCAAGTCTCTGAATTGAAATGCCGAACTTTCACTCACGAACATGGAAATGAGACCCACGAGGATGCTACATTTTGCTTTTTTCATGCAAATTTAGAGGATCACTTGTAACGACTGTGCATTGCAAATGAACACAAACTCAGTCCATCAATCCATGTCTTTCACCACATCTCATCAGTAACTATATGTGCGATGATCTTATTCACCTGCGACTCACTAATTGTATGTATCCAAATGCTGCGTTTTTAAGGGTGAAATGGGTGCTTACAGATTCTTCTCCAACTGTTTCTCTGTTTCCCTTCCCTGAATCATGTAGTCCTAATTTGCAACAAATAGAAAAACCAGCGTCCATTTTTCCTTTTACGTGGTAGCCGATTGGCGATTCATCCTATCATTTTTTCTGTTAGACGATAGCTGAGAACAGTTGTTTCAGCCAGGGCCAACTGCGAAAGTTTAGATTCCCGGGGACTTCAGCATCCACAATAAGGACTGGCTCCCGTTTCCTTCCCGCACAGATCTCGGATGTCATGAGGTCAGGGTCCCATCCAGCCAGTTTTTAACCCCTTATCTACCAGACTGTTCTGCAGCCCCCTCTTCAGATCGGTATCATCTTTATATTCACTTTTTTCTTTCCAAAAACTTTTCTCTCTCTTCATGTATTCTAGCGATACTCCGCCAACTTCCAAGCAGCTGTCGACGGTGACCTTTGTTGTGTTCAGGGGGAATGCTCCAGGTTTTGTTGAAAAACTTGAAGAAACTCTGTAAAGGTATGGACCAATTAACCTCACATTTTTCAGAAGGGAGCAATATCCACACGGGGTTGGTTTTGCACAGCAGCGGGGGTTGAGATGCACAGTGCGCGGAGGTTGAAGGATGAATTTGGGTCCCTCGGCACGCGCTATATACACTTCTCCGCGTTTTATCTGCTCGTCCATTATGGAAATATATACAGTTAAGTTCACTGTACGAAACGGAGCCCATTTGGAAATAAAAAACCAATCCATTCCGAGTTTGGCTAAAGCTGTCGGTGGAAACTTCTGTTCTCTCGAACTCCTTCCTGAAGTGATTGAAATTTAAGTCTCAGGTCATTCCAATTATAAAGAGCGTGTTTTCCTCAGCTATCTACCTCCGGTTCTTTCCTTTGCTAACTAACTTCTGGCCCGTTTGAATAAATAAACTTTGCCAGCCATCACTAGTTTCGCCATCGGAATTCGGGGTGTCTCAGCGGTTAAGGAATGTCTGTTGGCTGAACCTACCGCTGGCATCTCGATTGTTCATGTCTATATTTGGGCAACCAGCGAGCATCTCAGCCTTCATGCTTCCTTCGAGGTGCATGTCAGCCTGGCACTAAAATGATGTTACAACTGAATGAGCACGGTTAATTTTTATTCAGAATTCTACATTGACCAACCACCTAGCATAACCCCACTTTGTTCCTTAACTTAGCTGCTGAGCAAGGACCAAACTCTGCTTTCAGCTAACACAATCTACTGGCATTTTCCGTTCAGGCTCGAGAAATCAACCAACTCTTTCAACTTCCAAACGTGGTTCCCACTCTGACCCAGAAAGTTATCGAGAACAAATATTAGCACACTTTGCCAAAAGTCTATGGAATGAATTTCGTCAAACACCCCCCTTATGTTATCAAGGATACTTTTCTTTTGAGTAGCCACAAGGGTGACTACTGTCCCAAGGATGACCAAACACGTGTCACGTGTCTGGTCGTCTTCTTTGGGCCATTAATGAGGCGACTGTAGCTGCTCAAGATGAATTTAACCGGGGCTATTGTGATGACGTTTCCTCCAAGCCTTCTATATACGAGCTGAGTTCACATTTAGCAATCCTGCTCAGCGGCTCTGGCATAGGATAACGAGATAGTGTCATCGGACCCAAAAACTCAGAGTTAGAGCTTCCCAAGGAAATATGCTCTCTTCCACGCTGTACAGTCCTGCTACAGTGATGGACGAAGTTGATAAACGTTTTTAATAAACGTGGAATCTGTCACTGCCGGCTAGGTGGCTGGGATAGTCTCTCAAACGAACAAAACCAAGACAACTACCTACTGGGGATTTCACCAATATCCTTGAGCATGGCAGGTCGTAGGAAGTCAGGAC